TCTTGCCCACATTCTGAGATACTAACTGCTTTAAAATATTTACTTTATGTTAGTAGCAGTGTTCCACTAGAGTCATTCCTGCTGTTATACTGCAGTTAAAAGCATCCCATGGCACTCAGCAGGCTGGAGCCCAGCTAAGAGCAGGGACAGGCAGTGTCTGGACATTGGGAGCAGCTGCCAGCAGCTGGATTCCTGCAAAGGGGCACAATAATCCTGATGAGGCAAAATGACACCAATTGACTTATGCAACAACCCCTTAGGGACCTGATTGAGGGCTACATCTCTAGTCTGGCTGACAATATTACAATCTCACGTAGTGGCCCTGGAAGGATATTTTTTCTAATATCCAATCCAAACCTCCCCTGGCACAGCTTGAGGCCATTTCCTCTCATCCTGTTGCTTGTTACCTGGGAGAAGAGACCAAATCTCACCTGGTACAACCTCCTTTCAGGCAGTTGTAGAGAGCAATAAGGTCACTCCTGAACCTCTTTTTCTCCAGACTAAACACTCCCAGCTCCCTCCTCCACTCCTCATCAGACTTGTGCACCAGCCCCTTCCTGTCATGTTACACTCTGAGTTGACCAGCTGACAACAGTTGTGCTCAACCTTATGTCACCAATTCGTTTTCAAGAACACAGCTTAATGCAGAGCTTTACAGTATAGACAGCTTCCTTTTCTGAATGGTTGCCAATAACCAATTTACTCGATGATCTATGATTAATTTGGATCTTAAAGTAACTGTCGGGAAATTATGTTTGTCATAGCACTGGGGTTGTTCAGAAACTGTTGGTTAACATCCCAAATTAACTGGAAAATCATTTGCATCTTGTTTTACTTTCTAGCAAATTAAACCTTCTCTCTCCAAACCCGTTTGTGTAAAAGCAAGAGAAAACTGAAAATGTCTTGCAACGTGGAAATTATGTAATGAAGTAAAAAATCACAAAGTCTTCATCCTGATCCTCCCCAAATTTTGCTGCTTCATAGTATTTATACAGGTTACTGGCATCAATCTTCTTTGCTCCTCTAATGAATCTAATAAGCCTGAAATTTTCCTGGATGGGATGTTTCATCCAAGTGGCTTGAGAAGAGTCACACTCATAAAGTTTACAAAGTGATTCAGGAAATGCAATGCAATGAATCAATTCTCTAACTACTACTAGGGAAATAAGCAAATATTTGATATATTAATGCTGAATTCAGAAATACAGCTGACAAAAGAAATCTAGAATACTTCTATGTCTCATATAATTCAGTTTGTAGCAGCTTTTTGACTCACTAAAAATCAGATTTAATGCAGACTATTAAGGTGTTACCTTTAACAGAAATACCGCTTTAGTCCTTTTTACAGTAGTGCCCCAGATTTGGTTCTGATTATATATATTTTGCTACATGTAAAGAGTTACTCTGAAGGCATGTGTTTCTTTTTGAAATACATGCAAACCCTGACTGTGTTTTAAACTAAATGAATCTACAACATATAACATAGTCTATCTAAAAGCAGGGATCCAAGAGCCTGGATATCCTCTGTATTGAGAAATACTTGTTTATATACTAGAAATGTCTTTTTATAAGTAACTGTCACCTTGGAAACTACTACTAAACATGAAAGCTTTGTCTCCATAGAAAAAACCCCACATACTATTTAGTTGCCCCAAAGTTTATATTTTCCTAATCAATCTGAAACATAAAGATTTGCAGTCAAACGTTCCTAGCCCTTATTTCCTCCTTCCTATTGTAAAATTGTATCTTGCTGTAAATGTTGTGATTCCTAATAGCAAACAGAAATCAATACTCTTACCAAAACAATACTCTTTACAAAAATATATTTGCATCCTTTGTCTCAGTAGACTGGAAGACAAAAAAAAAAAGAGCGAGCCTTCATGGAAGTCAGCTGTTTTCTGAGATCTCTGACTTCAAGGCAGTGCCTGCTCAGGTGTGGTAAATTCACAAGGTACAAGGATCTTTCCTGTTTTGCCACAGTTTGCCTTTTGCAACTATTTACATTTTTATGTCTGCAAATGCAAATATTGACAAAATATTGACCACTGCATCACAGATACAAAATTCTATTTTTTGGCTTAGACTGTCTTGTAGTTTATTTCCAAAGAAAACATCCAATTGTACCATTCAATTTCTGACAGCAGGACAAAGACAGAAATGGGAATAAAAAATAATCAGAGTTTCCTCTGAGCACTGACAGTGCTGTACTGGGAGATGTGAGCCTAAAAATACCACTATTCAATATGCAGACCCACTCCATGGATTTCTTGCAGCTACAGGTACTGGGCTGTTATCAATAAAAATCTCTGAGGAAAGGAAAGATGAATTCTAAAAGCGCCAGAATCCTTGATAGAACACAGAGGGTTTAACCTTCACATGGCAAAAGCACAGTGTGGAACTAAAGAGGTGCTATAAAACCCTCCAGTAATACACAGGGCCTGCTGCTGGGGAGATGTTCACAACGAGCAGAAAGGTCAATGGCACAGCTATGGGCAGTGAGAGCTGCAAGAGGACAGGACAGCCAGTGTGGGGTTCATTCCATTCTGTCACCATGAAAGGCTGCTTAAAGGGGGAAAGACTTCACTGAGTCCTCCACAGCCACTGTGACAAATATTTCTGTCCCCACCCCATTTTGGTCATAGTTTTGCTGTTTGACTTCCTGCTGAGCATTCCTACAGAGAACATCTACTGGCCTTGTTTAAGGGGGGCAAGAGCCAGGGGATGGAGCACATGGGAGGTGAGAGCATCCCACAGCAAACTTGGCTATGCCCAGCTCATCCAGAATGAGTGTAACATGGAACAGGGAATGCAGCAGTCAGTCTGCCCCGAGGAACGAGGGGAGGACATTTCCCAAGGAACAGAGGTGACAGAATAGAATTGGGCAGACTCAGCCACAGTGACTGAAACAGTCTGGGTGTGAAGACCCACTTGTGAGGGCAGGGGAAGCTGGAGTTGAAGGAATGAGTGATTTAAAATGCTATTAATTTCTATTATACCTGACTGCATTGCTTTGAATTCTTTATATTTACAAAGATTTTTATCCATATCAGAATGACACAGAGCATTTTCTCACCTTAGTTTCAAAGCTTGTTTATCTTTGAGGAATTCAAGGTCGAAACAGATTCACCTTAAATGTCTGACACAGGGTGAGCACTTCATCAAAGCCTGTCCTGTGTTTCAAGGAAGTCCTTCAACACAGATACATCGCCATGAAATATTCCTTTTTCTTTTTTTTTTCCCCCAGTAAAACATTTCCTGATTAAAAGCAGCTCCAGCTATGATGAACAAGGCAGGCTCTAGCTAATCTGAAAAACTAATTGTTCTGTATTGGTATCCAGCAGAAAATTACAGGATAAAAAATAGCTGAAAGCCTCCCGTTGTCATTTGGTATTTTTTCTGAACCTAACTGGGAGAGAGGCTGCTTGGCCACTTCCAGGGCCTTCCACCAGCTGGGCTGATTAGCCCAGGATCAGTGTAACTTCCCTTGCCTGTCACTGGGGGCACTTGCTGCCAGCTGAGCACACTCACACGGACAATTAGCAAGGCTCAGCCAACATGTGATAACTTGTTAAACTGCAGTAATGTTTATTTTTCCTTTCAAGCCTCACACTAAGAAGCAGTGTGAAGCAAAAGAGGTTTCGAGAAATAAATGAAGGAAATCTGTGCTGTAAAGTAAAAACCAGGAGCTTTTCTTTTTCCCCCCAGCTTGCATGTGGACCCTGATAGAAAACCTTGCAAAGAGACTTGTGAGTGAAGACTAGTCAGCTTGCAGTTCTGTACAGAACTTCTTCTAAGAAGTGGAAGTTACAGTAAAATTATCAGAACACTTCTATCTTAGGCCTAAACTAAAAATAAATATATACTATACATATATAAATATATAGGATCTATAATCCCCTTACAATATCTATGTTGAATTCAGTAGATACACCAGAGTACTTATTCCAATACAGTTAAATTAGATGAGTTCCTTATTTTGGCCATACATCACTTTTTAAAATGAAATAGAAAAAAAGGGTGAAATACATTATTTAATACTCATTTATCATCTCTTATTAGAATTCTGTCATTGTGCCCTACTATGGGAACATACAAATTCTGTGCATTTTTGTGAGAGTACTAATGAGAGTACTATTTCAGAGTACTCTGACTCCGAAATAGTTTTAGTTTCAGTGATAGGTATGAAAGTTACTTGAAATCAGCTTACAATTAGCCAAAATTCTTAATGTTGTGATAATAACTGTAACAGGATTGTAACTAAATGTTTTGGTATGGCAAAAAAAATGATGCATCAGAGCTTGTCATTTTATTGGCAACAACCAACACACTCCTTTCCTTACTTTCTTCATATTGCAGGTACAATTTAGGTTTTTTATCTAAGTCAAAACTGAACAAGCTTCTTCATTGTCAGTGGACACAAACAGAAAAAACTTTCCCCTAAAAAAATCCCACCCAAACCCCATTTTCCATTATAACAATTTAATTGCATCACGTAAGGAATTAAGGTATTAATGAACTGAGAGTTAAACCATCCAAGAAAGGTCTTGCTAGAAGGTAAGTTGAAGTGAAATAAAATGAAAATTTTCATTTATGAATGCAAGGCTTAACATCAAGCTTCCAACAGTGAAACCGGTGAGACTGTTTCCTCCTCCATCCCTCTCTTTTAGAAACATCTCTTTGTAAATGAACACAAACTAACAGAAGAGGTAACAATGTGGGGGAAAAAACCCTCCACAGCCAACAAAACCAAACCCAAGAAGAAGGAAAAAGGTCCCCCTCTTATACTTGCACATTTGCTTAAAATAAATGTTTGCTGAAGTTTATGAGCCAAAAATCAAAACAAATTCCCCTCAGCACTGCCAACGTGTTTATTGAATCACATGACTGGGAACGGAGCCAAGCCACCTCAAACTGCTGTTCCTGTGGCATAAACAAACCTGAAACTGGAATAAAAGGGGCACGAGGCACTCAGCTGTTCAAATTAGATAAGGCAAACTCACACTTGTCGTGTAAGCAGCTTCAGGGTCATCCTCCAGCACTCGTGACAGACCAAAATCGGAGACTTTGCACATGAGGTTGCTGTTGACCAGGATGTTCCGTGCTGCCAGGTCCCGGTGCACGTACCCCATGTCTGAGAGGTACTTCATGCCAGAGGCAATCCCCCTCAGCATTCCGACCAGCTGGATGACTGTGAAGTGGCCGTCGTGCTTCTGCAAGGAAAGGTGCAAGTTCAAAGAACACATTCATTTCATTCTAGCGATGTTAACGACAGCTCTTATTTAAAACACATTTATAACCCAGCCAGCCAACATGCTTGTTTTTTCAAGTATTTGACTTGGTCTGCAGTGCATGCCATCTCATCTCCCATTGTGCAGTTTATCCCCATTTTCTTCCATATTTTCACACATTCCACAGTCTTCCTGCTGACAAAATTGAACATCTTTTATAATAGGTTACTAAGAACACCTTCCCCAAACACTGTTTTTTAGTACAAGAATGAGAAAGCACACAAAAATCCTCTCTTCATTTTTTACTCTCTGGCCTCAGGAAACAAAGAACCCTCTTTTTATTATCTCAGCCTTGATTGTCTGCATTGAGGTACTGCTGCTACCTCACTTTTTTTGCTTTTTTTGGGGAAGGTTTCTTTGTTTAAAAAAAAAATCCCAGAACAGCCCGGAAAAAGTCTGGAGCTTTATCTCATGTTTGTTCTGCACCTAACACCATATAATCTCTGAATACTAGATTAAAAAGGAGATTTGGGCTGAAATTCAGGGGTTATTCCAAAGCTTTTCCAAAGTCTTCCTGGAAGAAAGCCCTTAAGCACAGCCCCATGAATGCAGTAAGCTGCTTAACTCCTATTGGTGTTGAACATGTAAATAAGAGTTGTGTCATTAACCACACTTGTCCAGCTGGTCAGTCTTTCTGGGCCTCAGTTTCCCCATCTGCAGCATTAAAGTTAACATTTCTTTGTGTCCTACATCAGACAGCTCGTGAATTATGTAGCAGTGGGAACCAAGTGAGTACATGTATAGAAATGTGATTATGGGCTCTTTGCCTTTTTTAGGTCTGCCCTGTCTACCATTTACAGCAGACTGCTTACGGGATTATTTTTGTGACCTCAGCTGGCAGACATTTAGCTTCTCATGGATTATTCAGTGAGCCAGGCTTTTATGTTAGGAGGAACAGCCAAACAAAAACAAACAACTCTCTCCTGCAAGCAAGTTAACTTTTCATTTTCTCCTCCAGCACCTTTAGCATTGGGCAACAGAGAAGTAGCAATGTTCTGATCAGCATTCAAGACACTTCTACTGCTTAGCTGGTACATTTAAGCAAGATGATTTTTTGTAGGGGAGAGGCTTACAGTAAATTCAGTAAATTAATTAGATTCACCAAAGCAACAGGCTGAACTGTATAGATATGCTTAGCTTTATCCCTGGTCAGCAAAGTATTTCAGCATTTCCATAATGATTCAATGGTTTGGGGCCTGTATTCAGCTCGTCAGGATATAAATATTTAAAGAATAAATAAAAGAAATCCAGAAAGAAAATGGTAAAAGGAAAATACCAACACATTTTGTCAGCTAGAAGACCTCACAGGCTCAAAACACAAGTGTGATAACCAGACATTTTACAGAAGGCCATCCCCTCTTGTGAGCCTATGACATTCCTTATCACAGGACCCTACCACAAGAATAAGGGTTATTTCAGAGTCCAAAATATACCAGTGACAGATATTTTAAATAAAAACATTCCATCTAGCAATTAAGATAATATTCTTAAATGCTTTAAGCCTCTTTGATAAAGGAAGGAAATGGACTTTATCCAATGCTTTATGTAATGAGGCCACACAGGATTTGGGTTTTGCTTTTCATTTAATACTTCTAAATGTTCAATTGATTTAAAAATTATGAAGCTGGCTGCCAACAGTTAATACTCTTCACACCGTGTATGGATAACTCTTTTTTAGCTAACTGTAGAATTAGGATTTGGAACAAAGTGCCAGCACCTGACTTTTGCAAAATGATGGATCAGGTCTCTCCCACCTCCACAACAAAACACCAAACAAAACCAGCCCCCAAACCTCTAGATTTCACCTCCTGCTTATCTTCCTTAACAGCTCCATTCTTTCAACAAAGCTCGGATTCATCTGCAACACCTCTCTTAACCTTTTGTCCTCTCACATCACAAGCATTCCTTCCTTCCTTTTTTAATTTCTGCTCTTTCAAACCTAGACCATGCTTGATTAATTTTTCATAAAACATAACCTTTTTCTGCTCTTTCCAATTCTCAGTATTTGCCTTAGCAGTATAGCAGTAATGCCTGAGTTTAAAACAATCTCATGCTTTTGCCATTCTCTCCCTCCTTTCAAATTTCTTTCGGCTTCTGCCTTGACGAAAAAAGTTCAAACTTATTATCTTCACCTTTGAAGAAATGACAGACCTGCTAACATACGACTTGCAATTTTATTCTGTCCTCCTTCTCCCTCTACATATTTCTCCAAATCCTCTACTGCATCTGTTTTCCTCATGCTTGGTTTTATATTGTTTCACTGCCAGCCTTGCCATCGGAACAGCTACATTTTTTCCCACCAGCAAAACAGTCTTCCCTCTCAAGTCTCTTTTTAATCACTTCTGCATCTGTTTCTGCGCCAGTTGTGTTCCCGCACAATCTATAAACTGTTACCCTTCAATATATCCAAATATCTGATCTGGATACAGACTGTGGCCATACCTAACCCTTGGAAAATTCAACTAGTTTGATAAAATTATTGCAGATATGAATCTGGCCCCCGTATCGTCAGCATGTGTAAATCCCCAGGTACAATCCTTTGGCAACTTTCCATTATCTTGTTTCATTTGCTTGTTGTTTAGGGACATAAAACACTCATCTGAGTGATAGGGTGGTTTTTACTCAGGGCTTTATTCTGATTCCCATAGCTTAGATTTGAAATATGCTTCTGATAGGATTCCCACTGGGCTCTTAAGGGTGTTAATCAATACTGGCAGCCATTCAGACCTCAGTGGACTCACCACATTTATCCTATCATTCCATTAAATTTTAATCAGGCTTTAATGGCTTTACTAAATAAACTTTTCTCAACAGCTGAGTATAGATGCAATGTCTGAGTAGTTGCCACTGCATTTATGCAGCGGTGCAAATGCCCTGAAAAAAAGCATTTTCATTCAGCTACAGTTGGCTTTTGAAAACCTTATGTAAGTGAAATATTCTCCTCCTGTTACAGACCTTTCACCACAGCACTATCATTCCATTAAATTTTAATCAGTTCCTTTAATGGCTTTACTAAATAAACTTTTCTCAACAGCTGAGTATAGATGCAATGTCTGAGTAGTTGCCACTGCATTTATGCAGCGGTGCAAATGCCCTGAAAAAAAGCATTTTCATTCAGCTACAGTTGGCTTTTGAAAACCTTATGTAAGTGAAATATTCTCCTCCTGTTACAGACCTTTCAAGAGCACTGACATATAATGGGGTTGGTCAGTTCCTGCAGGGGAGGAAGGATGATATCCAAAGTTTCTCTCATTCCTTTTTACCTTCTAGTTTCCAGCTCCAGCGTGCACTAGTTCAGTGCTTTTCTACAAGCCCATAGAAATTTTCTTCTAGAGAAGGTTTTTTTTCTATTTTACTCTTCAGTAACCCTTTGAAGGCTTGGTCACTGGATTTTTCTGTATTGTTTCTAGACTTCAATCTATTCTAAAGTCCAGTTTTTTATTTGACATATAATTCAAAGCACTTTTATGCCCTTATGCTCTAAGAAATGTGCAGGATTTGCTATAGGTCTAAATATTTTACTGCAGATTATTTACATCTTATTTTACATGGAGAATAGCATTGAAAATGATGTGTCTGTGACTAACTTAGATCATACTCACCAGTGGCAGATCCTACTGGTCACTGTGTGAAAGATGTAGTTTTTGCTATGCATTTCTTGTTACTGTTCTACCATGCAAAGAAAATTGTAAGATTTTATCAGCTTAAATCTTCCAAAATTCAAGTTGCAACTTGGTATTGCTAGGCAGTATAACCCATGTTTCATGCTATCATGTGTAACACAGTCAGGTTTATATTATTGGCATGGAATGAGGTCAATTGATAATTTCTTCTTTAGTCAACAGTTAACAGAGTTCCATGCAGATTTAATTAATTATTATTAATAGGTTTTATTAATTCAATTAAATGTAATTACTCTAGTTCATTTTAATTGCTAATGAGTGATCTTAATTGACTCTTCAACCATTAAAAATACGGGAAATCTTTATATTATTCAAAATATTTGCACGATGAACCCCTTCCAAGGTTTATTATGAGATGCAAAAACTGCCCTCTATTCTGGACAGCACAGCAGTAGTAGCCTTGGGGTCCTGCTTTCCTCACTCAGCTACAGCAACAAGGAAGGGATGTCCTGGAATAATCAAGTGTCTCTGCCCACACTGGTGCACTGGAATACAGCTGACACAGAGTCACAGAGGTGGAAGGGACTTTGAACAGGGAATAAATCATCTCTTCACTCTGTGTCATTCCTGACATGCTTTTCTAACCTGCACTTAAAGACTATCAGGGCCATTAGTTCTTATCCTATACCATATTTTGAATAAGATGCCTCCCTTGAGCAGGGGCTTTGACTGGCACAGATTGCAATTCCTCTTTGCAACTCTTTCATATGCCCACCAAGACTAAATATCTTTCTTGCCCCTTCCTTTGGGCTTCACACCGGGTCAGTCCACACATCTCATCTTCTTGGCAACTATTCTTTTTGATTTTGTTGTGGACTCTTTGTTCACCTCCTCCATACACTTCCTGAAGAATTAAGGTCCAAACAAGAGAGTACTCTGAGTCCTCATCAATGTAAAGGGAGAGAAAAATTTACTTCACAGGTCTTGCAGGGGATACTCTTCTTTCTAGTTTCCAGGGTGCCATTTGCATTTGTCACAGCAATGCAAATGCCCCTGACCTATTGCAAATTCCAGAGTAATTTCTTTCAGCAGACTTCTGTCTGAACACTTATTCTCTGTTCTCTATTCTAGAGCTGATTATTCCAGCCACGGTGGAGTATTGTACCATTGTCCTTACTTATTTCTAGTTAGTTTTAAGCTAATTAGTTACTAAATTATATCTTAAAATTGTTGTGATTTTAAATTCTAGCTCTATCCTGCTGTCTGCCTGAGTTCCTACTCATCTTTGTATTGCCTGAA